CCTCAGCCTCCCAAGTAGATGGGACTGCAGGCACCTACCACACGCCCGGCTATTTTTTTTTTGCAGTTTAGTTGTTGTTGTTTAGCAGGCCTGGGCTGGGTTCAAACCCGCCAGCCTCAGTGTATGTGGCTGGCACCTTAACTACTGAGCTACAGGTGCTGAGCCTTAATACTCCCTTTTCTAGAGAGAACCGTAGAAGAGAGAGAGACAGACTCCATCCTCAGGGAGAAGGAAATGCACAGAGGTTGTCCTGTGAGGGCAAGTGAGGCTGGATACTCCAGAGGTTTGCAGACACACAACCTTAAGTAGGTTCATCTCTCCTGTGGTCTAACGGGCTACATTTTCATTTTCAGTTAGAACCTTCGTGACAGAGTTTAAATTAAAGAGAACTTTTCTTAATACTACTGTGGAAAAACATTCAGATCTACAAGAAGTTGAAAAGGAGATCACCAAAACGGTAGGTTTCCTGAAAGGCATCTTCATGCTAGTCCTTTGCTTTCTGCAACACATTTCTCCCGAGTTGAGGATGGCCTAAGGGTCAACTGTATCTCTGGGACTCTTCGCTTTGATTATGTTTGGAAGGGTAACTTCAGGGTAAAATAAAGAGCCTTTCAGAAATAGAAGCGAGGTATTGACAACTAGTGCTGCCCAGTAGAAGCGTTTAAGTGTGTCCTCATGTGTGTCTTTACTTGGGACTTGGTGTTTTTTTCCACATGCAAACTCGTAGTTAGAGATACACAGATGAAATGCACCAGTACTCTTGGTGAAGAGGAAAGATCCAGAAAGTCCTTCTGACCCTATCTGCTGTTGACATGCTATGTGATTTTTTCCCTTTGTTTCAGAGACTGGGGAGAATGATACTCTTTTTTTTTTCTCAAGGGAATGCCAAAGGTGTAAGACTTAATTCTGATTATCTAGGGTTTGAGAATTCACTGAATAGATTATCAAAGGGCCTCTTTTCCTGCATTTTATCAGAAAAATAAAAAACAAAAAGAAAAATGGAGAGGACAAAAGAAGAGGTAAAAATGAAGCTCTGTTAATCAATTTTGCTTCTCCATTGATACCTGAGTCAGAGATTTGGTGCTCAGGAAATTGAGAGATGAATTGGTTTCTGGTTTCCATCTTACTTGTTCTTTATGGGTAAGAATTAGTATATTATGTAAGAACTGTCCATTTCTATAGGACCATGAATTTTTTTTTTTTTTTGAGACTGAACCTCAAGCTATCCCGCTGGGTAGAGTGCTGTGGCATCACAGCTCACAGCAGCCTCCAATTCCTGGGCTCAAGTGAGTCTCCTGTCTCAGCCTCCCAAGTAGCTGGGACTGCAGGTGCCCGCCACAATGCCCGGCTATTTTTTGGTTGCAGCCGTCATTGTTGTTTTGACAGCCCTGGGCTGGATTCGAACCTGCCACCTTAGGTGTATGTGGCTGGCACCTTAGCCACTTGAGCCACAGGCTCCGAGCCAGGACCATGAATTTTATTTGTGTAAAATACAGATTCTAATTCAATTTCTTGGAGATCCCCAAGACCACCTCAATTTCAGTAAGGCACTAGGAGGAGCGGCAGAAGATAGGGAGAGCTGTTAGATGGATGGCAATGTCTTATTGCAGTGAAAGTCTGCAGGTTAAAATCAGCCCGGGAAAGAGGCACATGCAGCAGAGTCAGGAGGGTCTCAGATGCAGAGCTTCCAGTTGTCCTCTGCTCATGGAGTCACAAACACTGTCAGCTCCTCTCGACCCCAGTGTATGGCAGTATGCATGAGAGTTGCCACCCACAGAAGCTCCCCCAAGCCTTGACTGGGGCTCCATCACACAGACATGGCTGACTGCCCATATGGCTGACCTGTCTCCAGCCCCGTATAGGTGGAGCTGATTGCATGCTACCCAAAGCCTCCACCATAAATCACACCATTAGACTCTCTGGCATAGCACAAGACCTGCAGGTAAATGGACATTTCTATTAGGCAGGATGTTCTGAGGACGTAGATTTTACCTCTCAGGAGCTAAGCACAAAAGCCTGACTTCTCCTTGAGCAAGGTAAAACTCTTCACTACACAGTGGGATTTATCATGTCTACTAATCCCACCCCTAAATCCACACCTTGTCACACCACCACGGCTGCCTCTTGGTCCTGCGGTGAGGAGTAGATCTTTCCTTCTCAGGTACTAGCACAGAGGTGCCATCCTTCCCTCTGCACAGGGCCTGATGACTTACCTGACTTGTTATTTTTGGCCCACTATCAATGTCTAATGAAGTGATAACACCTTCAAGAAACAGGGAACATTTGAACAGTGTCTGGGGAAGCCACATAAATGGTCTTTCCCAAGATGTTATTCTTTTTATCAGTATCAGAAAAACAAGTTACTAATAAAACAACAATAATAAATCTTTGCCATTAGACTATAGAATAATTCATACGAAGCCACAAAGAGTTTGGTAACATCTCATGTTCATCTCTATCTTCTGGAGGGCAGAATGTCTCTGAGATGCAGGCTTTGGAGACAGATGGGTCTGCATCAAGCGAGGTATCGCAACCCTCTGCTCCATAAAAGGACCCCCATTATGGAGGAGAAACAGCGAAGCAGGCATGATGCTTTGTGCTGTGGATGGATTTTCTGCATTTGCTGAGGGCACAGGGCAAACTCAGGGAGAGTGGCTCTTAATTTGCCCTCTACAAAAGGGCTCTTGACCATGTAATGTGATTTTTCACAGATAGCCTTTTTGAAGAAGACCTATCTTTGAGTTAGGTCAACTCATGGTAGATTGGGAGGGGTCTCTATAGGGCCTGTTAGATCTGGGGGAGCTGAGAGGAGCTGAGCCTTTTCAGCGAAGCTTGTTCACTTTGCGGAGTCTAAATAAACAGTTGCCTCTGAGTTTTTTGCTATCCTGAGCCTTCGAAGAGATCTGCTCCTTTGAAGATGTTTTGCATCCAAGGGTGCCGTTCTGAACATCATTTCCTGCCAAGATTTTCCCCACTGATTTACTCTCTGCCTCTTTCCCTTTGTACTCACAGAACAACAGAAAGGCATTTGAGAGGAGAACAAGAAAAGGACAGCTACTTCTGTATAAAGCTGCCTGCTGATAACTTGATGGCTGGAAAATGCCTATTTTATCCTGAAAGAGGAAATCTTGGTTCTAGGTCTAAGGCTTTGTCTGACTCACAGTTAACCACAGACTTGTTCTTCCTTTCAGTTAAATGTGTGTTTTTCCACGTTACCTGGCTATGTCCGATCCACAGTGCGTGCTTCTAGGTAAGTAACAGAATTACATTTGCTTATGAGCCAGTGTATAGAAAGGGGAGGCTGTTCTGATATGGTTGATGGCAACAAAACCGGGTCCTGTTTTGATCAAGCCACTGGGTGACCCAGGGCCAAGGTCACTGGGACCTTCATGCTCTCCCAGGCTCTCACTGGAGAATGGTAGTGACACTCACTTTCCAAAAGCTGCAGGACTCACATGTCATTTTAAGACCATTAAAAAGCCCACACACTTTGCCTGTAGGGAGTCCAACGTGGTGGTGATCTCACTGCAAACAACCTTTTCCATGGCCTCCAATGTGACACTGTTTGACCTGGCTGATGGGATACAGAAATGTGTCAATACCTGCAGATCCTCTGCTGAGGTCTGCCAGCTCTTGGGATCTCAGAAACGGATCTTTAGAGGTAAGAGAAAGGCCCTCTGGGAGGACTCTGCCCATCTAGTTAGACACAGACCTAGGATGGAAATGTATGGCATCCCGGGCTCGGGCCCAGGGGAGTGCACCATAGAGCTTATCTTTGGAATGGGTGTTAAGCAAAGGGTCTTTGTGTGTGTGCACTTTGGGGCATGTGCATGCACATACACACACGCACACACACACAGAATCCTGACCACATACAGCCCTGAGGCACCTGGTCCTTGGCATGAGGCCCCTTCCATCTCCCGTGTTGGTGTGGGAGGATGAGGGCTGATGTAACAAAGCAGAAATCCCTCTTCTTTACCTTGAGAAGTTCCTGCTTCCTTTGGGGAGATAGAAATGCACTTGCAGAATGTACAGGCTTGTCAATGAACTTTATCATGATAAAGTTTGCTTTTAAGTAAAATAGCAGGTGCAGTATCAAACTATAGTCTTTTTAGTTGGCTTGTTTGTTTATTATAAATGCACAGAAACACGACTAGATGAAGGTGGGCCAGAACGCTCACAGTGGCTAATGAAGATTTTCCTTTCCTGTCTCGCTTTGTCTGTTCAGTCAGAAGCTTCTGTGTGCATCTAGGCATCTAGTAGGAGGTAGATGAGGAAGTATTAGAGACAACAAATTCAGAAGGCACATTTGGGTCTTGGAGGGGGAGTTGCCTCTAGGGTGGGAAGACGGCACTCAAATCCAAAGCACTTCTTTGCAAGGGAGGCTTGTCCCAGTTGCTACATCATAAGTGATCAAAGTTCTCTCATTTTACTACATAACTAGGGCTGGCGAGGGATGTAGGATCTAGTCTGAGCCTCCCCATCTGGCGTCCAGATGTTGGATCTAAGTTGGAGGTATCAGGTTTGGGTGCTCTGCTAGTACATTTGTGACACTCCTAGTGGTCAGGGTTTTGGAACCACTGGTCCAGAAAGCTTTCTTGAGCAGGCCTGTGTGTCACAGAGGTTGGGAGGCAGGTAGTTAACCTTTTACTCTGGGATAAATGCTGGAGATTGGTCCATTTAAGGGCTACTTATTAATTTGAAAAAAAAAAAAAAAAGCAAAACTTTCTGTAGTTGAAGTTCTGTTGATTGGGGAGTTAATTAGAACATTCATGTTCCATTATATTGTGCTCAAAACTTAGAGGCTCCTCGGTTTTACTTTTGTGTTTTTCTTGCCCATGATTCGAGGGTGCTAGTTTTTTCTCCACAGTGATGTAGGAAGGGTACCTTTCAATTCACTCAATATGCAGTACCTTCTATGGGATCAGCAATTTACCAGGTTACGTTTCTGTAAATGGATTTGTGCCTTGTGAATCAAGTAATCAGATATTTGGATTTGAAAGCGGCTGCTCAGAGCACCCCTGCCCATCCTCAGACCTCCATGTTTTGGACTGCTTGGGTGTGGCTTATGGGAACACTCCTCCTGTCATCCTCGCTTGCTCCCGAGGTCCCCACTCTTTACTTCTGCAGCTGCACACGTTGGCTGGAATCAGGCTCACTTGCCTGCTTTCCCTCCCAGTTCTTCTCCAGATTTTGCCCAGACCCTGCCTTGTCTCTCTCAAACTTTTGGAGTGGTAGCGAGGTGACAGCTTCTGACACCAGAGCGTTTGCAGCACAGGGCTCCTCTGGGGTTGCCTCCTTCCATTCACAAAGGTCCACTTCCTCACCTTTTAAAAAAACTGCAACTCTCTGAGTCTCCGAGGGTTTACAGTGTTTGGAAATTCCCCCTGGCAATGTCTCGGCTTTAGATTTATTTAGATTCTCATTGTTTTGGTGGATGTTATGCCCAGGAAAGACCATGGGAACTGTAAATGTAGAAAAATCACATCACCAGGCTTATCGTGAAAATGGGATTGTATGTGCTTCTGTTGGATAGACGTATAAAAGGTTTTTGAGAGTGTTTAGGGCAATAGCCCCTCCATTGCAGAGGCAGGGCCAGACTTCCACACTCTCGCATGGATCTGTTTCTGTGCGGGAAAGGGCTATTGCTTCAGCAGAGGGATTAATATTTGCCAATAGGCTGGGTTAATCAACAGAATGGAAGGAAAACGTGAGATTGGCTTCCAGAAAATATCTAATCAGACCAAGCAACTCAGGCTGGGCACTGGACAAGGCTGGTGTCAGTCTGGACAGGTTTTGCCTTGGAGGTATTTCTTTATATTAAGGCTTGTGGACTAGCAAAGCCTTCAAAGAGTTTACATGAGGAAACATTGTGGAAGTTCTTTACCTCCCTGATGCTGTCTTTACAGTGTTTGCCTGGTGAGATTTTTCCGTTTTTAATTTCATCCCTAAATACAAACTTTTTACAATAAACAAAGGAAATTCTGTCACACACACACAAATAGAGTTCTGATTTAGCACGCCAGCTTCCACTGATAAAAGCAGGAAACTCAGCGTTGAGAACTGAAGTTGTGTCCCAAGCTTAACCTCCTGTGACGAGACTCTCCACCAGCTCAGAACTCACAAAAGGGGGTGCGTGCCAGGGCCCTGTGTGAGGCGTCAGCTTGCATTGCCAGAGTCCCTCTACGAGCGGCAGTTTTGCAGTGTTAAGAGCTGGTTCCTGGTTTCTGAATAGGCTGGTGTCTTCCTTAAGGTGGGAGAGGGGAAGTGTGCCTAGGAAATCGGCCTCATTCCTCAACACAGGACATACCCGTGGCCCTGCCCAGTCAGCTGTCTCCCCATCCTGAACTGCTCTGCCCTCCCAGCAGCAGAGGCCTGTCTTTCTCTGCCCCGGCTGGGCTGTAAACAGGTTACTATTCGCTATCCAGTCAATCTCACATTTTTGTTCTATTGCCATGTATTCCGTTTACATGTCTGCCTTAGATGGTGATGGGCGCCCTCACTGTGTCTGCTGTATACCTCTTCTAGAGAGCCGTGTGCCCAGCAGTGAACGCTTTTGATACTAGTGAAATGATTCTTTCTCACCCATGAAGTGAACAAGGTAGCACGGCTGAAGGATGGGTTCCCTCTCTGCCCGCCTCTTTTTCTCTTGGCAGTGTCCTAGTTTCTGGAGGTTGACATGCGTAGCAGCCGATCTCTGCGCAAACCACTGAAGAGGCAGAGATAAAGAAGTCTCTGGAAGCCATCAGTGTAGGGAGGGCTCAGCCAGATAATCACACTACAGCCCTAATTACACCTCTCTCCTAATAAGCAAGCTACTTGCCATAAGGAGTGCAGCTAGGTCCCTCAGGCTCTGCAGATGCGCAGAGCTGAGACACACTTTCACTAGAGATGGGTCTGGCAAGCTCGAGTTTTTCTTGGTCCATCTCTCGGCTCCCTAAGAGCATCATTATATACTCTGGGTTTATGCTGGTCTCCCCCGCTGTCCTTTTGTGTGAGAGCACAGGAGACAGCACACCATCCAGGGCTACACAGCACACCATCCACGGCTGCACATGTTCGCAGCCAGTGTCTGAGGAGGGGCCAGGGCCCTGTTTCCTCCCAGTCTGGTTTCTCAGCCTGTGGAGTGCTGCAAGGCTGTTTTCAATGGCGGGAGGGGGAGCACCTGTGAACAGTCAGTAGGTGCTGGGGCTGACCAGGGTGAGGGTGGTAGAAGGCAGTGCACAATGGGGATCCCAGAGGACTTTTGAGAAAACTGTTCTCAGAGCCTCTGGAACTAGAACGTGCATGTATCCTAAGGTTTCAGGTGGAGGAGGTTTTGTTTGTTTCACTGCCTGTGTTTCCACCCCAGCGGGCAGCTTGTGCAAGCGGAAGAGCCCTGAGTGTGACAGAGAGACCTCCGTCTGCACTGACCTGGACGGCGTGGCCCTGTGCCAGTGCAAGGCAGGCTACTTCCAGTTCAACAAGATGGATCACTCCTGCCGAGGTAGCCACAGGTTCGCCCGTGGTTCTGTGCCCTGTCCGGGTACTCTGTCCGGTGCTCTCTTTCTCTCTTCTCCAGGGGTGGCGGGGGTTAGTAACTGATTCTCCTTATCTTGTTCATGGCAGGGTTGATTAACATTATCTCCTTGGAATAACAGCATTATTTCTGACTGATGAATGCAGGTCTGGCCGATCAAAGGAAAAGAAAAGAGAATGGAATGCCTGTGGTAGAAAAGCCTTTTCTTTTTTTATTTAGAGGAAATTAGAAAAAGTATTGTTTTAATTTCCCACATTTTATCTATTGCCTGCTAATCTTTTAAAGTGGAAATACAAGCATGGAGTCAGGCCTGTATCTTTGAGAGGCAGTTGTGGCTCAGTAGACAGTGTGTTTGCCTAAGGCTCGATGCTCCAAGTCGGAGCCTAGCTTTGCCTTACTGATCATGTATCATCTCAGGCAAGTCACTTGCTTTTTCTGAGCCTCAGTTTCCTCCTCTCTAAAATGGTTATAATGGCACCTCATTGGTTATTTTAAGAGTTAAAGAAGGCAGTGTATATGGAGGTACTTTGTAAGCTGTTCGCATTTTTGCTTGCATTTTACTGAGGCTGCTTTTCAATTAAGGAGTTATAATTGTTGTTGTTGTTATTTTTGAGACAGAATCTCACTCAGTCGCCCTGGGGTTGAGTGCCATGGCGTCACAGCTCACAGCAACCTCAAACTCTTGGGCTCAAGTGATTCTCTTGCCTCAGCCTCCCAAGCAGCTAGGACTACAGGTGCCTGCTACAACACCCGGCTATTTTCAGAGATGGGGGTCTTGTTCTTGCTCAGGCTGGTCTCAAACTCCTGAGCTCAAGCAATCTGCCTGCCTTGGCCTCCCAGAGTGCTGGGATTACAGGTGTGAGCCAATTCACCTGGCCCAATGTGTTATAGTTTTATAGGTTTCATGAAGTGCTTGAGAGTAGAAATCTAATTCTTTAATCTTTTAGGTAAGGCTTAGGTTCCTTCAGTTGAAGGAACTGCTCCAGCTGCTCAATAAATATAGTCCCAGAATACTGCCTTAAAGTGAGATTAATTTGGATCCGGAGCACTGTGCCCAGGCTTACAGAAGACTGCTGCAATCTGTGACCACCAGAAAAACCAGCCACATAAAGGCCATGTGGCTTTACGTATTGCCTCCCACCTGAATGCGGATGGCACAGTTTTCCTGCTCAGTCAACACCTTGCTGGTGACAGATGTCACTGGGTGTTACTAGAATCTGAGTAACAGTCGCTGATGGGGGCAGGGTGACATGCATTTCTGTCAGGACTTCCCAGTAGAGGACTCATTCCATCTTAAGATAAAAACACATTTCAGGGCAGCACTATTACCCTGAGCTTCAGGCCCTCCAGTGTCAGACTTTATTACAGAGAGGAAGTTCTTTTGTCTGCTCTCAGGCAGGACCTCTGATGGGTTTGGAAGAGGTGGGCCAGCTCTCTGTGCTGGACATCAGTCCTGACCCATGCCTGGCACACAGCACTTCTTAGCACTGCCAGACTGCAGCATTGCTACAGAGAGATGCTACTTCCTAATTATAGCTTACCTGGTCTGATCCAAAATATTTCTTGCCCTCTTAGGGAGGGGGTCTTGAACTCCACTTCATGTGGAGGGTGACTGGGCTAAAGTTCATGGGGTTGGGATGCTGTGCATCTTGCAAGGTGGGCAGAAGGATGGGCACAGTGGTGTGGTGGCCCCTGTGATGGTGCCTCAAGAACAGTCCTGCCACCTTTGCTTCTGGCTGCCTGAGCCACTTCCTTCTCTTTCCAAGTCAGTGATTTCCTAACTGTGTCACTTACCGGCCAACGGCAGCAACAGCAGAACTAGCAAAGATTTACCAAATGCAGTGGCAGGAGCACTAGCAGCCTCATGCGTTTACAAAGTAGTGAGCTAAGAAGCAGCACAAGGAAACCTTGATTTGTTTTGAGCTTGTTGCCAAGGCCCTGTGAAGCCCATTCTCAGCAGTATTTGCAGCCATCAGGCCTCTGATGAGTGAATCTGGAGCTTCTTGGACCACAGCCCTATTGGCTGGGTTCTAATGGGTTAGCAGTGACATCTTCTGGCCATCAGTGCTGGAGCACAGGGATATTTAAAGTATTCTTTTTGGACACCTCAAACCTTGGCTCAGTCCTCTATGTAAGTAGAGGATAAAGGTGAGGTCTGTGTTTATGCATTAGCGGTCTCTATATTGTTCTCTGTTGTACATACACATGTACACCCACGTGTTTGGTGCCTCACGTAAAATGTCTTTGCCAGACTGTTGAAACTACATACAAGATTAAAGTAGGGCTCGATGCCTGTAGGTCAGACAGCTAAGGTGCTAGCCACATACACCAGAGCTGATAGTCTCAAATCCAACCTGGGCCCGCCAAACAACAATGACAGCAACAACCACAAAATAGCCAGGCATTGGCTATGGGTGCCTATAGTCCCAGCTACGTGGGAGACCGAGGCAAGAGAATTGCTTAAGCTTTGGTGTTGGAGGTTGCTGTGAGCTGAGAGCCACGGCACTCTACCCAGGGTGACAGCTTGAGGCTCTGTCTAAAAAAAAAAAAAATTAAAGTAGGTGTCCTGCCCATTCCATCAGGCGTCATCAGGAGGAATTCTGACAATCTGTTTGTGCATCTCTCTCTCACCAGACTGCTAGGGCTTGAGAGCAGGCAGAGCCATGTCCAGAAGAGCACTTAGCACATTGCAGGGTCCAGCTGATGTCTATTGAATGAACAAATGGATTATGGAGCTGCAAGTAGGACAGGAAAAGATTGGCGTGTTTTGACTTAGTCTCCTGTGAGGGAACATGAAGCTTTTACTACGCCACCACGTACCTATTATTATTATTTTTTAATGTTGAGGAATGACTAAATGAGTCCGTTTAAAAGAGAGAAACATCATTACATCACATCAGGGAGTCAAACGAAAACAGCCCTACCCATCAGCTCACAGGCAGGACAACAGATAGACCCTGTGTCTGGCTGGATGATGACAGCCAGAGAGTAGAACTGTCCCACCAGCAGATGAGAGCTGATGTTGGGTGGGTAGATCTGATATAAAAACATTTCCAGGAAGAAGTGTTTAGAATAGAAAAACTTGATGTGACATCAGCCTGCCTTGGTGCTGAGATGGATGGAGATGAGTCCTTGGGACTGTGGAGCAGTCCCTGGGTAGCTGCCATGCAGCCCGGGTCATCCATGGACCTTCCCGAGGTGTGTCCCCCACTCTTATGACCCTGCTAGAGCATAAAGCAGAGCCACACAGAGGGAGGAGCAAGGGAGGAAGATTGTGGGGACATGGTGCTTTACTTGCCTGCCAGGGAAGAGCACTCAGCTGGTCCCTTAGAGAAGACCCCACCCGAGGCAGGCTAGCGAGAACTCGAAGGTATCAAAGATTGGGAGATGGGGCATTTCCCTAAATGGTATACAATTATGCTCCACTCTTTTGCATAAAGGATTTGAAGCACCTCATGAAAATCCACATAATAAAATAACATTTTAAAATACTTAAAAGGTAAATTGAGTTGAAGGGCAAATAAGCTGGCCATTTGGTTGAGGCCAGAAGGAAAGTGAATGCGCGGAGAGGTAGCCCTGTGTGTTTGCTGAGGGCAGGCCACTTGTGCAAGTTCGGAGCTTCCTGGAAACAGAGGCAAAGAGAAAAACACAAGTCTGAAGACAGTTGGGGGCCATAAAATACAGTGCACTTGTTGGGGAGCATCCCTGTCTTTCCAGGCACTTGGACCAAGAGACGTTTCTCTGGGGTGTCTTTGTCAAGAGATTACTGAGTGGTACTGAGACATCCTGCAATAACACAGTCGGGACTTTCCCATGGCCGCTGTTTGCACATATGCCAAATAGCCCTTAATAGAATAGAAGAGAGCGTAGCTCAGGAAAAGCGATTCCATGGAGCCAAAACAGTGCAGTCCAGATTCACAGCTATCTGACGATCTGCAGTGAGATAAATTACAGATCATTTAGAACAGTGTTTTCCAAACTGTGTTGCACAATATGTTAATAGATAACCTATGATAATAAGATGATGCCAGAAATGTCTCGCTTCTAACATTAAGAAAGGAGGAGGAATATCAAACACATCTCCATGGGAAATGTTATCATGCACAAATCTGTAACAGGAAACTGAGGAAGTCTGTGAGAGACTCAGGGAGCCTGTCCCCTCATGGAGCCAGGCCAGCTGTGCTGGGTCTGCCATCTGCTCAGGGATTGTACTCCCTGCTCTGGACGCCTTCTCATCTGTGATCTTTTATGCAATGTATGTTGTACATTAATCCTGAATCAAATTCCCATCCGTTGCAGCAAGGAGTTTGCAAGGCCGTTTTCCATTGTCTGCTTTCATCCAAGTATGCATTATAGTTCATGGTCTTCTGTCCTCTTATTGTGGTGTGGAAAATGTTTCTGTGATCAAATACATTTGGGAACTGCTGATCCAGGGGAAAGGCTGTGCTTCAGTGAAGCGGTGTTCCATGAGCAGCACTGCCAGAGCGTTCAAAGTTGTGTTGTCAGGCAAAGGGCCCATAAGCACACGTCTAGACATGTCCAGAACCCTACAATAGCATTCTCGGAGGAAATCCTGGGCACCCACTGGCACCATGCACCAGCGGGTGTCACCCACAGTTCCCACCTCCCCACAGTGGGGGGGCCAAGGTCAGGTTAAAGCTTTGCTTTACATTAAAGAAGGTGAAGCATTTGTCTTCCTGTGTATAGACAAGTAATCCCCCAGATGACGTTCTTCATCTGTAGAGAACTTCCAAAAAGAATTGTATTTGTCAGATGGTAATTACAGCTGCAAACACGTAGTTAGCGGTTGTCATGTGCCAGGCCTGTGCGAAGCCATTTGCTTGCCTTCTTTTACCTTGATCTCCTCCAGGAAACAGCAAGTAGGTGTTTATCGTCCTCTTTTTATAGCTAGGAAATTGAGAGCTACAAAGAGGCTAAGAAAAGTTTCTCGGTAATGTTAAGAGTTGAGTTGGCAACAGTATTTAGGTCAGGTTATAGATAATTCTAAAGCTGTTTGCAGTCTTCTGGTTCTTACAGCCTTCAGGGCGGCTGGCTTTTAACGTAACTGAGAGTTGGGGCCCCGGGAGGTAAACAGACAATTCATGGCTTTGCTTTTCTTCTTTCAGCCTGTGAAGACGGATACAGGCTTGAAAACGAAACCTGTATGAGGTAGGCTGTGTTCACATACTCTGACGAATTTCTTACAAATCTTATTTAGAAATTCTTTGGGTAAATTGCTTGTTATTTCTTTTGAGATTTTTTCTTCCTTTCTTGACTTGCAGTTGCCCATTCGGCCTCGGTGGTCTCAACTGTGGGAACCGTAAGTATGCAGAAGTGGGGCGTTGCGGGCAGGGCTGTGTGTCAGTGTACGGGTGTCAGTCACCTTGCTTCCCACAGTTCCCTTGGTCCAGGTCCACTGTCTCCTGGAGTCCTGTGCTGGGGAAAACAAAGAAGGACTCGTTTGGGGCTCTCCAGGGGCTTGAGGTCTGGGAGGGCAGCTACACTTTCCCAAATAGCCCTGCCTGAGGAGCAGGGCGTTACTGTGATAAATCAGGCCTGAGGCAGGGACCTGTGAAGAGTGGAAGAGGCATTACTTCTTGGAGGGGATGGAGTCGGAGGGAAGTTTGGGAAGACTTTGACTGCCAGGTGTGGAGAGAAGGAGGCCATCCCAGGCTGAAGGAGCAACTTAAATGAAGGTCTTGAGGTCAGGGGGCCCAGGGTGTTCTGGGGACAGTTTGTAATTGGGTGCGGCTGGAATGGTGTGGCTGGAGAAAGGGTCAAGAGAGTGTGTGGGGACTGAACTCCTGGGGTTTCAGTCACCAGGCTGAGGAGTTTCGTCACTAACTGTTGGGGAGCTAGAGAGAGCCTTAGAGCAGGAATGCAGTTTGATCATGGAGAGCAATTTGGGCTGCAGTGAGGAAGATACTGGACAGAGAACGTGGGGACAGCTTTGAGACTTCCACTATAGTCCTGCCTGGGGTCAACGCCAGAGGCAGACTTGAGAGTCATCTGCTCCAGGGAGAGCGTTTGCAGTGTGAGCAAACACTGCCAGCAGGTGTGTTTCACACCTAATTCAGTTATTGAGAAAAGCAGTTGTGATTCATTGAACATTGCTGGCACTGATATTTTCTTATTTTGGCACGTTAGAAATATGAGGGCCAGGTGTGGTGACGTATGCCTATAATCCTAGCACTCTGGGAGGCTGAGGCAGGTGGATTGCCTGAGCTCAGGAATTTGAGACCAGCCTGAGCAGGAGAAAGACCCCTGTCGCTAAAAATAACTGGGTATTATTGTGGGCACCTGTAGTCCCAGCTACTTGGAAGGCTGAGGCAAAGGATCCTTGAGCCCAAGAGTTTGAGATTGCTCAGAGCAATGTTGCCATGGCACTCTACCAAGAATGACAAAATAAGACTCTGTCTCAAATTAAAAAGAAAGAAAGAAAGAAACTATATACTTTTAAAAAGGACAGGCTTGAGTATTTTGGAGCTTTGGCTTATGTAAAATAGTCTGGGTAGCAATGCATGTCCTTTTCTAGAAGTCACTATTTAGACAAGCCAGTTTCTCAACTGGGTCAGGCTTTTTATGCCCTTGGGTTCAGGAGGGTATCTGGGACCTAAAGGGGCCAGCTGGTGTGCGAATTGGACATACTCATTTACTAGCACGAATCTTATTCCTCATTCAAAACCAGAATGGAGCCCCAAATAGCTCTTAAACTGATCAGAGAATGGAGTAGCCTGCACATAAAATAGACTGAAAAAAAACCTGGAACTTTTTGATGTACAAAAAGGAGGCTGAATAATCAGGCAACAATTTAAGATATTTGAGACATGTTCCCCAAATGCTGTTATACCAGGACTATACAGTATAATCTTTCAGAAGAGACGATTTTAGGGCTGACAGTAGTGGCTGCAGCACAAACCGGGGAACCTTAAGCTAAGACATTGTAAGTATTGAAAACAGACTGAGATGATTTCTTGGAGGAAGGATTAAGAATAACATGAGTGAGGGAGGAAGGCTTAAGGTGTAACAGTTGTATTTCACGTGCAAGACTTTTACCCGAATCCAGTCCCATCAGATGGCAGAGAAGGAGAGAGCAAGCGAGGCACGTGTGGAGTGTGGAGACGGGGCTGCCTGTGCTCTTCTGTGTAGGCCCCAGAGAGCCAGGGAGCAGGAGGTGGTCCTGCCTCGTCCCCTGGGGCCCCTCATAGAATGAGCCAGTACTTTAAACCTCCTTCAGCCAAACAGTTCCCTAAATAAGTTTTATTAGAAAGAGCTTCAAATATCTCAGCGATGGACGAGTGATCCATGGAGGGAAAACTAAGGATGCTTGAAGGAAAGGGATGTGAGGGGCAGGGCGTTATTCCAGGTGGCACGGGGGATCCTTTTCTCAGAGATCGGTAAACCCTGCCACTCTGAGGTGCTGGGCTTTGACGTCCACTCGCTATTCCATAAGTTCTTATGCTGGGACAAAGCGAATTCCTCACCATAATGTCTGTGGAGTCCTGGATATAGCCAAGATTCCTCTCTGATCCCGAGACCTCCTTTTGCTCCGTTTGTCCGAGTCACCATCATCTGTCCAGCAGGGGGCAGACGCCTCTGCCTGGTTAGCTCCCAGCCACCTTTTGTAACTAGCAGCTTATCATTAAAAGTGTGGTAACTTCTGTTAATTCTGGAATGGTATGTGACTATCACTTTTTTCTTTGATATCTACATTAGTCTTAGTGTTGCAAACTAAAACTAAAATTAATAGTGGCTGATAATAATTAGCACTTGCCACCTACCTCTCTCTGAGGTCTGGACCCAGGGCAGCCCTGGTGGTGGGTGAAGAGTCGGGAATACCTGGATTTCATCCCCATCTATGGTGATAGTGCCTTGGGAGTCTGTGACTCGACACTCCACGCTCTGTGCCAAATAGCAGGGCTCCAGCCACACATGCCGTTACTTCCCCTATTGCTCCCAATGATAGTTGATGCCTTTCTGGGCTGTGGTTCAAGATAGATTTTTCATAGGCAAGAAATGCTTCTTCTCTACCCAGTCTTCTTGGGGTACACACCCTCCCCAAGTCCAGTGGTCTGGGAAGACAGGTTTGTCCAGTCAAGCACATGGTTCTGAGGTTGTCTCACTCTTACATTCCTTGAAGTCATCCAACTCCAGTATATTCTAGGCTTAGGCATAACCTGTATCCTGACTCTCTGAAAGTTCCTGTTACCTTTCTGGTTGTGCCCAGATTTTAGCCTCATGCTTCAGGGAGAATATTCTTCAAACTGGAAAGGGCAAGACAGATCATTCTGTCAAGTCTAGTCCGTGAGGAAATGCAGGCCTCTAACCCTGGGCAGCTCAGGTCTGAATCTGTCTTATCCCTGTCCTCCTTTTTATTTTCTTGTTATTTTTCCCCCTTTTTTATTTTCTTTACATGCAAAATATATCTCTGAGGCTGAGGCAGAAGGGTTGCTTGAGCTTAGGAGTTCGAGACCAGCTTGATCAAGAGCAAGACCCCATCTTTACGAAAAATAGAAAAATTAGCCAGGCAGGCACTGGTAGTCCCAGCTACTTGGGAGGCTAAGACAGGAGGATCACTTGAACCCGGGAGTTAGAGGTTTTTGTGAGGTAGAATGGTGCCATGACACTTGACCAAGGGTGACAGAGTGAGTCTCTATCTCAAAAATAAAAAATAAAGAGAATATCTAAGAGCACAGCAACCCCCCCGGCCCTTGCCCACAGGTAGAAGCACTGGCCTACACTCTCTCTTTTTAGACAGACCTGCTTATTCCAAAGAGGTGCCTGCTCCACCCACGGCCAGGGTCACTTCTGCCGTGCACACATGCTTGCAGTTCTGGAAGCAGGAAAGTGTACCTTGCTGTAAAAGAATAAGTAGGATCTAGACTTTGGTCTTCATTTAGGGAACAAGGGACCCACTGGAGGCATTTTTAAAGCAGAGAAATGACAAGATCAGATTTTCTTTCTGTGATGAGTGGACAAGACTGGGCATAGGAAGATGAGCTGGGAGGCCATTTGTGGTTGTCTAGATGAGAGATGGTCATTCAGGGCACTGTTGGTGAAGTTGAAGAAAAACGGATAAGTTCAAGAGATTTGCCTTTTGTCCTCACTTGTATTAAATGGAAGTTTCAAGTACATGTGTCAGGAGGTAAGAGAGAAAATGAGGTGATTTTGTGGCTTGGCTTTGTTTCTTATCTGTCTTAATACCCACAGTTTTCATGGTTATTGGGCTTCTGTGCTAATTACCAAAATAAAAGGATAGCATAGCTGTGTCTGCTCCCAGCCTGCTCCCAGCCTGCTGGCTGCCGGTCTTCACTTCCCCTTGGCACCTGCTCACCTTGGACTTTCCCTGAATGCCTAAAAAGCATGACTCAGTCTCTACTTACTGTAGAAAACCTGGTTAGTGGCCTTTCCTACTGGATATTCCAACCTGAGAACACAACTTTAATTACATTTCCACAACAACAAAAAAAAATTTTGAATTTATAATAGAATTTACTGAAAATGTGGTTTTTCTCAGATTACATGGGATGTAACCAATTAATTAAAAATTGGAATATTGCGGCTCAGCACGTATAGCTCAAGCAGCTAAGCTGCCAGCCATATATATCATCAGAGCTGGCGGGTTCCAACTCAGCCCGGGCCTGCCAAACAATGATGACAACTGCAACCAAAAAATAACCGGGCATTGTGGTGGGCACCTGTAGTCCCACTTACTTGGGAGGCTGAGGCAAGAGAATCACTTGAGCCCAAGAGTTTGAGGTTGCTGTGAGCTGGGATGTCACAGCACTCTACTGAGGGCGACATAGTGAGACTCTGTCTCAAAAAAAAAAAATTGAATATTGCGTATTACATATGACATGTACGTGCCTATATCACGGCTAATTTCTGGCATTTATTGAGGAGCTCACTTAGCCCCTAGCATGGTTTATACAGTGATCCTTGGCATTTAACTACCAGTAATGCTTCTCATACAGCTGGAGAGTCGAACCTAGGATTATCACTTTCTTATTTTATCAAGTAAGAACCAAAAACTGAATCAAGAATTTTTTATCTCCATCAATCAAAAAACTTAACAGCAAACAACACCAAAAGGTGGGAAGTGGCCTAGAAAAGGTTCTCTGTTTTTTAAGAAATGGATTTACTGATGCATAATATTTATACATGGAAAAAAAGAGCACCCATCTTCAGTGGGAGAAAAAAGTAGGAAGGACAAAATCTTAGATTATAGGACAGTTACTGAAAAGGAACACTTTTTTTTTTTTTTTTTTTTGAGACAGAGCCTCAAGCTGTCCCCCTGGGTAGAGTGCTATGGCATTACAGCTCACAGCAACCTTCAACTCCTGGGCTCAAGCGAGTCTCCTGCCTCTGTCTCCCAAGTAGCTGGGACCACAGGCGCCCGCCACAACGCCCGGCTATTTTTTGGTTGCTTGGTTGCAGCCGTCATTGTTGTTTGGCGGGTCCGGGCTGGGGATTCGAACCCGCCACCTTAGGTGTACGTGGCTGGCGCCTTAGCCAGTTGAGCTATAGGCGCCGAGCCAGGAACACTTTTTTTTTTTTACATTTTTGAAAAACACCTTATTCTCCTTTATTTTTCTAACTATGGATTGGTGAAAATGTCCTCAAGGGCTGGACTGCAGGTAGAATTTGGGAGCCACCACTCTAGGAGGGCCTGAAAAGCGGAGCGCTTGTCAATACAGAGGGAGCATGATGTAGCCCGTGAGAATCCTTGCCAGAGGCCAGAACGTGGAAGAGAAGGCCCCCAGGGAGGCAGGGTGGTTGGTGGCTGTAGAGTGGAGGGGAGAAGGTTCTTTAGTGTTCATTTGTTCCTTAATTCCCTCCCACAACCCACTTTTCTTGTTTGCTTCACTCGTTTAGCCTATCAGCTTATCACAGTGGTGATCGCAGCTGCAGGAGGTGGGCTTCTCCTCATCCTGGGCATTGCACTGATAGTGACCTGCTGCAGGTAAGTGATGAGAGTTCAAATTCTAATCCTGTGTCTTTGCCTATGCTATACAAAGGTCAGCTTTTACCCTTTTAAAGATACTTGCAGTGGCTTGGCGCCCATAGCTCAGTGAGTAGGGCGCCCGCCACATACACAAAGGCTGGCGAGTTCGAGCCCAGTCCAGGCCTGCTAAACAACAATGACAACTGCAACCAAAAAATTGCCGGGCATTGTGGTGGGCACCTGTAGTCCCAGCTACTCGGGACACTGAGGCAAGAGAATCGCTTAAGCCCAAGAGTTGGAGGTTGCTGTGAGCTGTGACTCCACAGCACTCTACTCAGAGTGACACAGTGACTCTGTCTCAAAAAAAAAAAAAAATACTTGAGGGGCTTTACAACATTAAATCAGGATATGGGACCAGCCATTAAAGAAAAGAAGGGAAATTCATGATAGCTATAGAAAATAAAGTTCCATTTATTTCCCTTCTCTCTCCCCACAGCCACCACTCTAGGAGGTCCTAAAAAGTAAGAGAGAGAAGGGAAATAAATGGAACTTAATTTTCAAGAATGCCCCAAAGCACAAGCAATGAAAGAATAAAAGAGATAAACTGGGCATCATCAAAATTAAAAACTTTCACACTCCAAAGTACTATCAAGAAAGTGAAAAGACAATCCACGGATGGGAGAGATTATCTGCAGATCATATGCCTAATAAGAGACTTGTGTCTAGAATACAGAAAGGACTCTTACAACTCAATAATAAGAAGACAGCCTAATTTTAAAATGGGTAAAGATGGCCAGATGTGGTGGCTCATGGAGGAGCCCAAGGTGGGAAGATAACATGAGGTTAAGATTTTGATACCAGCCTCAGCAAATGGAGACCCTATCTCTACTAAAAACAGAAAAATTAGCATGTGCCTGTAGCCCCAGCTACTCGGGAGGCTGAGACAGGAGAATCGCTTGGGCTCAGGAGTTTGAAGTTGCTGTGAGCTAGGCTGAAGCTGTGAGCTAGGCTGAAGCCATGGCACTCTAGCTCAGGCTAAAGAGGGAGACTCTGTCTCAACAACAACAACAACAACAAAAAAAAACGGCAGAGGAATTGAATAGGCATTTCTCCAAAGAAGATAGACATGAGGTCAGTGAGCACATTGTCGTCATCCGTTTAATGTTGCTATAAAGGAATACTTGAAGCTAAGTCATTTATGAAAAACAAAGTTTATTGGGTCACAATACCGAGGGCTGGAAAGTTTGAGATTAGGTAGGTTGATTTGCTGAGAGCTTTCGGCCACTCCCTTGGTGGAGATAAAGGAGAGCCTCTTGGTGAGGGGGGCAGGGAAGTACAAGTCTCTTTTTAGCAACCAGCTCTCTCGGGAACTCACAGAGTTGAGAATTCACTCACCCCCAAGGGTGGGCGCTAATATGTTCATGGAGCCCCCGTCCCAGACACCTCCCACTTGGCCCACCTGACAACAACCCCACACTAGGGATTAAATTTCAACATGAGATTTGGTAGGGACAGAGAAACAATAGTCAAACCATAGCACCCAAGGGGCTTTGGTGCTAGCCAGGATGCTCAACATCATTAGTCATCGGGAAATGCGAATCAAACCACCGTGAGATACCATTCCATGCTCACTAGGATGGCTCATAAAAACCAAAACTCAGAAAATAAGGATTGTTGGTAAGGATGTGGAAAAATAAGAACCCTCCTATGCTGCTGGTGGGAATATAAAATGGCATAGCCACTTTGAAAAAGCCTGAAAGTTTAATATAGAGTTACCATTTGACCTAGCACTTCCACTCTTAGGTAATTACTCAAGAGAAATGAAAATGTATATACGCGCAAAAACTTTGCAGGAGTGTTAATAGCAATGTTACTCATAATGGTGAAAAGGTGAAAAGAATCCTGATGTCTTACCAGCTGATGAATGGGCAAACGATGTGATATATCCATACAATGGAATATTATTCAGCCTTAAAATGAATGAAGTACTGATACACACTATAACATGCGCTAACCTTGAAAGTATGCTAAGTGAGACTAGCCAGTCACAGAAGACCACCTATTGATGATGTGGTTTCATTTATATGAATTGTCTGTAATAGACACAGTAGATTCATTTGCTTGGGGCTTGGGAGGGGGTGGTTAAGGACATGGGATTTCTTTTTGGAGTGATGAAACTGTTCTAAAATTGATTGTAACAATGGTTGCACAACCAACTCTGGGTGAATTTTATGGTATGTGGATTATTTGTCATTAACGCTATAGAGAGAGAAAGAAGCAGACAAAGTACAGGAGAATGAAAGGTGCTGCCTGAGATATTGTAGCAGGAAAGAAGCTCTAGCAGCAATGTGGGATGAGCAGGGAACTTGGCTCTCGGATTCCTGGAAGCCAGCAGGATTGGAGTCCTACTGGTGAAGGAAGAGAAAGGAAGAAATTGATCACCCTCTTCTGTGATTATCTGTTCAGATAAGGGAAGATTATGATCTCTGATTTAGATGACATATGGCGCAGGAATTATCTGGACATAACAGATGGAGGGAACCTATCAAAATAGCAAGTTATCTTTCATACCATTGACATGAAGGACATTTTAAGATACCCTCTGTCTCCAATGAGGCCTAATTGCCTGGTCAGGAATGCAGGGCTTAACCTATATTTTACCAAATTGCCATCAAGTCTTCAAAGATAAACTGTATGAGTAGAAATAAACTTCTGGGGATGAGGCTAGAAGCAGTTACCTAAAGGGACAAAACCTAAGCACTCAAAGAGATATGAGCCTCGTGTTTGCCACACATTCTCTACCACGCAGGGTAGCCATTTCAGGAAAGAGCTTTACTTCTGAGAAGGGTTACTGAGCAGGGAAGGGTGTTATGAACAAGTACATCATTGTCTGAGCCGATACCCCACCCTCCAGAGGACACCACAGTGACCCCTTCTACAAAGGACCACTGCCTAAGTCCACATACTGGATGATGATTTGGTTGCATGACTCTGAGTCATTTTGAGCCTGCCCTAGGAAACGTATTTGTAGGTAAGAGAGGTAAAAAGAAAACATTTCAGATTATCCTACCCATGGCAAATATAATTTAAAATTTCTGATTCTAGGCCTATCAGACAGGTGAAGAACACATATTCCAACAGTTTCTAGCCAGTGAAATCTCACACGCTGGTTTTCTCTGACCTGCTGAAGTGAGAATGTCTATAGGCCTATGAATAGGTGGGCCGTTCTGCAAACAGACTATCCCACTTTTATGATGTGTGAAGTAGCTTTATGTAGGAGGAAGAGCACTGCCTGGGGAAGTTAGAGGCCTATATTCTAGTTCCTGCTTTGCTAGTAGCAAGAGGGGACCCAGGGACAAGTCAGGTCTCTTCACTGAGCCAGAGCTGTCCCATCCCTAGAGGTCTGATTCAATACATCTGTGTGTGACTCAGACTCTTCCCAGGTTAATACTGATGTCCAGGTAGGTTGGGAGCTGTTGGACTAGAATTCTAAGGGCCCGGCTGGCTTTGGCAGTCTGTGAATTTATGACTCTGGTTTCCTTGGCCACTATCAAGGCACAGTGATCTCTGACCCTGGAAGAGTTTAAATCTGCTCTGCTGTAGATAACCTGGCCCTTTCGGGTTGGAAGACTTCTTGCATCTTTTTTTGCACCTAACTGCATTTTCACTTGTTTTAGGCAAATACCAAAAATAATAACAACAATAATAACACTTCTCGGTGGGAAACTACAAAGACATACAACGGTAGCTTTCAGTCTCATTTATGTTATAAAATAGTTGTTGCTTTCATAGATATCTCTTCTCTATAGAACTTAAAATAAATTTTAAACTTTTTTAATTAAACTTTTAAAATATTTTTTTACCCCACAGAAAGAATAAAAATGATATAAGCAAACTCATCTTCAAAAGTGGGGATTTCCAAATGTCCCCATATGCTGAGTACCCCAAGAACCCTCGCTCTCAAGAATGGGGCCGAGAAGCTATTGAAATGCATGAGAATGGAAGCACCAAAAACCTCCTGCAGATGACGGATGTGTATTACTCGGTGTGTACCCCATGCCAGAGCAGCCTCGGGGCTCCAGTTTCCTCTGAGAAGTAAAGGCATTCTGTTTCGTTGTAGAAAAAGCATCCCAGTTAGTGAAGGGTTAATAAAGAATGGGGGCCTGAGCCTCTTATTTACATATTTTAATACTCAATTTACTTGCCTCTATTTGCATGGTATTTTTCATTGTCAATATTGAGATACAAAGGATATTTCATAGAGCACATTACTTTTACGGGGTTGTAGCAATAACAAACACTCTTGTTACTGAATTTGCTTTTAAGTTGTAGGAAGGGAGAGAAGGCGTTTAGGGATATTTTGTGTTTGGCCCTTTCATTTTTATCTCCTGTCTGCCATGCTTACCTCATGTGGTTAGCTAGTGAAAACTGAGAAAAAGGTGTAAAGAGAAAATTCAGGGCCGTCCTCAGCACTTCTTGGGGGTTCAGAAGATCATACACTCAGCAGGCCTTTAGTAATTTGTTCTACCCAGCCTAGACTGCGTCATTGGTAAAGACAGGAGACTCCCTTGAACCACACTGGATTTAACCCATGTCATATTCCTGTGCACTGTCCAGTTCATTTCACATCACACCGGGTCAGCCATGAAGCAAATACAACAGCAGTATCAGAGCTGAAAAACAAACAGATGTCAGGAGACTTCTCAGGCCATGTACAGCCGCTTGAGGAATAGCAATAAACACGAAACCTTGCCCACCTGGGGACTTAATGGCACTAGCCAGTCTTGTAAAAGAAACCACAGCCCCTGTGGTTGCTACGAGAATTAGCCAGGAGGACTCAGACTTTGGATGGGAGGGACAAGTTTGCTTATGCTAAGGAGCTGCTTGTTTTAATGGAGTCTTTGAAAATTTTGAACTGGAGAAAGCACAAAAAGTTTTAGATAAGGGGAAAGATAAACAGACATAGACGCAAACTTAGCTCCGGTGAAAACGTTTCCGTTGGTATTTTTGTGTAGGGCTTTGCTTTTTTTCTGTTTATCAGGACAGTCCTTTTCCTTTCCGAAGTGACGCTCTAACCAAGCAGGTATTTGACCCAGATGTGTCTGCACACTCACATCCTTTGCCAGAGACGACTCAGCCCCAGCATGGTGTGATAATAGCAACAAACGGGCCTGGGTGATGTAGGACCCAGCTTCACTGCATGTTTCCATGGCATTAGCTAAAGAGTTGCCTTAAATAGATGTTGTCAAGAACTTAAATGAACCCCATCTTTATTTGAAAAATAGTAGGCTAAGCAATCTGTAGAGGTGAAGCCTAAGCTCAGGGCACAAGCTGTCACCTGGCTGGACAGGCCCGTTCCTCACTGGGGCTCCATGGGCTCCGGGCGTCTCACATTGGGCACTTACGGGGTTCGTGTTTGTGATGTGCAGCATCTCATGTTTTATTTTTTCTAGGAAAACATGTACCTCTGGTGTCACTATGAGGCTTCCTCAAAGTAGCCACTGTTACTCCCAGGGAGATTTTTTTTTTTTGAATACAGCCTTACTCTGTTGCCCAGGACTAGAGTGCCATGGCATCAACCTAGCTCATAGCAACTTCAAACTGCTGGGTTCAAGCGATCCTCCTGCCTCAGCCTCCTGAGTAGCTGGGACTACAGGCAGCCACTATCATACCCAGCTAAGTTTTCTATTTTTAGTTGAGACATGATGTCACTCTTGCTCAGGCTCGTCTTGAAACACCTGAGCTCAAGGGATCCTCCCACCTCAGCCTCCCAGAGGGCTGGGATTATAGGCATGAGCTGATACATCTGGCCTCAAGAGACTTTTCTGGGGAGATCAGAGAGGTAGTTCATGACCCAGTAAACTGGTATTTGGTCAGAGACACCCGAGAATTGCTATCAACACCCTGACTTTTTCAAGGTCCCACAGCTTGGGAAAACTTAGCTGGGTATGATAGTGGCTGCCTGTAGTCCCAGCTACTCAGGAGGCTGAGGCAGGAGGATCGCTTCAGCACCCTGATTTGGAGTCCCACCTCCAACAAGGTAGCTGTGGGACCTTGCAAAAGTCAGTCCCCTGTTGATCTGAAATCAAGATTTTGACACTTAAATTTAAACCCAAGAAGAGTGAAAAGACTTTTCTTCTTTTCTCTTTGGCATCCAGCCTACAAGTGTAAGGAATCCTGAACTTGAACGAAACGGACTCTACCCCACCTACACTGGATTACCAGGATCACGGCATTCTTGCATTTTTCCCGGACAGTATAACCCATCTTTCATCAGTGACGAGAGCAGAAGAAGAGACTACTTTTAAGTCCAAGAGAAAGAGGGGCCCACTGCCCTGAGCCAGTTACCAGGGACCTCAGTGGCTCGAGGACTGCACCAAGAGGCTGCTCCCAGGACTGGTCGGAATCACACTTGAGCAGCAAGCAGAAGAAGGGGCAGGTGTGAGGGGCTGGGCCACAGTGGAGGGGTCAGAGGGATGTGGAGCTGCAGGCTGCTCACTCGGCACCTTTGTTGTTACTGTGAATGTGAGCGGGGGCCAGTACCAAGAGAGTCTGTTTTAGTGACTGGACCATGGCACTGGCTCCGGGACGACTGTGAGCCAGGGCAGACCACTAGGAATCACTGCAAGGACCCGGCTTTCCTTAGTGCGCACTTTAGTACATCGGGCAGGAGGTTTCCTTCAGGATTTGTCTCTCAGCTGTTCTAGAAGGAAGGCTTCCTTCCAGAGACATTTCCATAGGCCTCGATTTGGTGACTTATTTGCAGCAAATACTGGCTTATTAGCTGTTTCCCTGCCCAGTGCCTGTGTGTTAAACAATAGTCATAACAAACATACCCCTGAGGTTTGAGACGCTGCCATTGAAAGCACAGTATTGTAATTTGTCTCTAGGTTATCTTATGCTACAGTTTCCAAGCCACCCCCAAAATGAGGAATTGAAATTTACAAGGCACAGCACCCAACTCCAATTTGTTTTTTTAGTCAAGGTGACACATTTATTTAAGACATTTTTTTTTTCTCTTTGCAGTTAAGTCTCACTTTATCAAATAAGTCTGGACCAGGGCCTAATTTACATTTGGTTCTATCATCGTTAGATGCATCCAGCTGCCCTGTATTAAGGGCTGGCTGGCAGGTGAGGGGCTGGCCCTGCAGACATGGTGCACTTTATATCTGTGACGGCAGTGTGGGGGCCTGGCGTGCTGACCACCATCGCTGAGGCCAGAGGCTGCTGGGTATGGAGTCGAAACGTAAAGGCAGATTGGGTCTGAGCTCGATGTGCTCCCTGTGGCTGGATGTGGTCAGAGGAATGGGCTGAGAGGCAAGTTACATTTCTTGCATCGCTGGTGCTTTGGGAAGCCTGTGATTCCTAAGGAAGAAGAGGGAGCTGAGACAGAGCCACAGGTGAGTTCGTTTCCCTGCTGGTGCAGCATCTTGTATCCATAATCTCATCCACAGACCCTGTGTAGACTTTCAGCCACTCAAATCTATTTATTTGTTAAAGAAGTAACTTATTTTTTTCTCACACAGTCACTTGCCCCTCTTTATGCTGCTGTGTAGCGCCCTCCAGAAGCATAGTTAGAAGTCAAGTACACATCAGAGAACTGAGGACTTCTGGCCAGTCAGAGATCTGGCAGTTTGCCTTAGGAAAGGGAATTCCACGTGTCTTATTTATTATGCCTGTGACCCGGGTCCTGTGGAACTGTGTTTATTCACCTGCTCGTGGAGCAGTGTAGTTTCGGATGCAGTGAAGGTAACTCAGAGGTAGGAGGATCATCCCTGCCCTGAAGTTGGGAGCCGTGGCACAAACATTTCTGGAAATGGTGCAGCCACTGGGGACTACCCTGGGCACGGTTGTTGTTTCTTCAAGGTCCTCTGATCTCTTCAAAACATATGTAAGTCCTCATTCTCACAAAATTCTTGTCCTAACAGTTTTAAGTATGAACTTCTGTGTCCCATGGTCTCCACGACTCGCTGCCAGCCTGCTGTAGCAGGAGCACTGATCAGGTGTGCTGCATTTTAGCTGTTAAATTACATTCATCTCATGAGATAAATGCAGAAAGAATTCTGTTTTGTGAGTAGATGCCAACTTATACTTTCAAAGCCTCACTTTTTTGAAATCTTAGCTCTTGCCTCTGTCTCTTTGAGGGCCTCACTGTCTTGCCTCTCACTGGAGAGCTCTGAGCTCCTACATCAGCTCACCAGAGCCAACAGACAGGATCCCTCCTGCCAGGAGGCCTGGCATCGTGGCTCACCCCTGCTCATTACTGACCTGCAGCTGTAGGGAGAGCCAAGCAGAGAGGCTCTTCCAGGCACACACTTCCGCTGCCTTTAGCAGGTATCACAGCTGACAAACCAATTCCTCTCTCAGGGCTCCATAAAATGAAGTGTTCTGTCTCCAAAGCATTCTTGGAAAGAATCCCAAGGTTTAAAGAACAGTGTCCTGTGAGTTCCAAGAATGCTCCCCCTCTCACGAGTCTCGTCCATGTGGAGTGGGTTAGGAGTGTCCTGTTTTATATTGTTGTTTTAACTAAGATGAAAAGAGGCACCTGCAGCGTTGAGCTCACACAGTTGCCACAATTTCCAGGAGGTTTATAGGGGTGAGGAAAGCCCTAAGAAAGCTTAAAAAGGCATGACTGTGACCCAGTGCTTACTGCCCACCGTGGGCAAGGAGGGGAGAAGCTGCTTCACTCCTGCTTGGGGTTCATAGTTCTAGAAGGGTCCTCCCTGGGCTGAGGGGAACACCCATGGACTGCAGAACAGGACAGGACACACACCTGAGAGGGGGAGTCTCTTCACTCACACACAGTGCCCACTGTCCGCCTGCACACCTGCTGTGTGTGATTGATTCACGTGCACAGAAATGCCACAGTCCAGTGTTGGGACCCTATGGCTGAGGGAAAGTGGGGGGAAGGGAAAAGTGACGCTTAACTGCCCACAAGAGGCTGAAAGTTCCATAGGGAAAGGCTAGGCCCAGCAGGACCTGTGTGGCCCATGACACACTCTAAGAGCAAGGCGGGTCAGGTGCCCACTGCCGGTGGCTTTGAGCTCCAGAAGGTCTCGTTACTGCTGGGATCCAGCTCAGGACACTGGAGTCCGTTTTGTTAGGACAGACTGACATGATCTTCTCATGTTCCTGCCATGCCAGGCTCTGTGTAGGGTTCCTCACAGCGCCCATTTCTCAGCCATAGAGACTTCCAGAGAGGATAAATCACTTGCCTTATGGAGGCAGGATTCAAACCCTGCCTCACCACCCAGGCAGACACCTCCCCACCACTACACTTTAAATGGCAAAGAGGGCAAGAGAAAACGGGCTTAAAAAATAGGTTGTATTTTTTTAAAAAAAGAACCTTAATATTACTAAACAGTAACCAAACCAGCGACATGAAGTAAAAAGCGTTGAATGCCCTTTGGGGAAATGTCCTGTCAGATTGGTTGCTACGTGTATTTCTCGGACAGGAGGCACATTGGTACGTGGCGTTGGCTGCAGGAAGGAGCAAATGGCAGCCAGACTCCCACCTCCATCTCAGGGCCTGGTTGGTTATCACTCCTGCGCATTGGAAGAGTATTTTTGTGAATCATTATCAGAGGCAGGGACATATTCAGTTGAATGTCCTAACTGCTGATAAACTCGCCTCCTTTGAGGGGAAGTTTATTTCCAGAAGGACCTAAGTCATTTAGAGGCAACATTTCTGATGGATGGTGCAGTGGAGCTGGCTGGTAGCAATTGTGGTCAAAAACTAAGATGTGATAGTTGAGTTCTTGAAGAGGTGACTCTCAAAGTTGGCCCAAAGGAGAGGGCAGCATCTTTGGAATATGAGGCTGGATGGCTCCATGAGAATATGTCTTTGAAGTGAACGTTCCCGGAGCAGCACCTCAGGGCCATCCCTTGCATGTGGCTTTTTGGTTCCTGCATTAAGCCATCTTGACCACTAGTGAAGTGCCCAGGTGCCCTGTGACTCTGTCTGATTGTGCCTGAAGAGGTAAAGCTGTAGAGTCCGGTTGTCCTTGGTTAAATTTAACCTAAAAACACCCAAAACTGGAGTTTTGATCCCTAGTTCTAAAATACACTGACTTGGAGGTTAGAGCACTTCTTTGGAAAGAGGAAGTATGCCAGATTCATTATTCGAGTCTTTTGTATTTTATTTACACTCACCTTTAGTATTAGTATTTTTCCCTATCTGAAAGCTTTCGCAGGGATATTTCATTTCCTCCTTGACAAGTTGTCATTCTGAGGTTCTCATGTGTGTTTTTGGAAACAGAGATGGTTTTATAGAGTTTGCTTTTGGGTATGTGTCCATTTTTCCTTCTTCTTTTCCCAAGTTCTCAAGGAAGACAACTGACCACAATAGTAGGAACTTGAAAGTATTAAATACCAATTAATTTGTTGTACTCGAGTATCTTCAGTAGCGTTACACCCCATCGTATCTGGTGTAAACTGCTCACAGAAAGCCTATGAAAACCAAAGGGGGTCATTCAGGTCTAAAAGGAGATAGGTCCTAGACTGGCTTTGTCCCCTGGGCATTTTTAAAGAGGACATTTCAAAGAATTTGCATATTTGATTCTGGTTTTATCTAGGGAGGGCTGTGTCTAACGCCCTTTAGTATAGTTCCTGGGTGGGGAGGATAGACTGGGGGAAGGGTGAGTGGAGCCAGGTCTACCTGGGAAACCTAACCAACTCACTTACCTTTCTGTATTACCTTGGCCTGTTCTAAAAAGAAAATGATGATTTCACCATGAGTTGCTGTGAGTTTTGTCAATGTTTGTGTTGCTGGACATACCGTTAAATGAAGCATAGAGCTGGAATATGAACTTTTTGAGTTTTCACATCGTCCTGGATTTCTCTTTGTAAACCTTTAGACCTTAGCCCCTGGTTGATTGTGTTAAACCCATTATGAGAATGTTATTTAAAGTTGTATTATAATTGCAACCTCCACTAATTATTCAGTACTGTAGCAGCAAAGTATTATTTGTAAGAATTTGGTTATTTTTATACTTATATCCACTATAAGTCTGGCGTTCTAGTCAGTAAAATGATGCAATAAAATTGATTATCATTTTCATTGTGTCTTCTCTTAATAACGGGCAGAAGCGGACAGAGTGCAGCGAGTTACTCTTTGTCAGGGCGTTACTTAAACACTGGAATGTACAGTGAACGTCCACACAGCAAACGTGGACCCTAAGTCATTCCTGCATCCTCGGTGCCTAGCAGTGGGGAAATAAACTTAGGATGATGGAAAGGTACATGGATAGATGGACAGAGAGATCTAAATGATGAACATCTGGGCACAGATATGACACCTGTTTTTGTTTACAGGAAAGGCGAGCCTAAGTAACCAAATCAGACGCTGACGGCTCCCCCCCAAATGCCTCCCACTGCTGCTCCGTGCCTGCCCTTCATGTCTTGGAGGAGCCAGGAAGGGAAGCCCATCTGAGCTCTGGTGGGGAAGATCTATGACATGAAGACAGTGGGCCTTTGACTAATGGTGGCCCAGGAATGTGGCTGCCTGACCAGAGATGCATTCATTCATTCATTCATTCACTAATTGCTTCTGTAGATGCCTTGTGTGGCAGGGATGATGGGCCCTTTTTATATGATTGATGGCAGAAACCTTGGCACTAGGGGAGGCCAGTAATGGCAGTTAGGAGCATGAAAGTGACCATTTGGCAGATTAGATCAGGGCCACACCCATCAGACGCTTCCAGATAGAGATGACCAGTAGCACTCTCCTCTCTGACCCGGCACCTCACACTCAGCCTTCCAGGATACCGGCTACCAGTCTCCAACTGTGGGCTTAACAAGGGCCCATTACTGAAGACTCCAGCCACACGCTATAAACATCACATCCTTTCTGGACTCTCTCTCCCCTGGCACTTGGTTTGTTTCATTCATACTTTTACTTTTTAAATTTACAGAAGGTGCCCAAAAAATGTATACCCATTTTAAGAAAGGGGAAAAAAGCTACAATTTACAAAAAATTGTAATCATATACACTGATAATTAAAAGATGAGTGTAAGTCACACTGAGCACCTCTTATAATTCCAGACTCCAAACGTGACTTGAGTATTACAAATTTACTGTAGGTTTTTCCTTTCTTAAAATGGGTATACATGTTTTGGCACCCTCTGTATTTAAGGTATACAACATGATGTTTTGATATACACAGTGAAATGGTTCCTGTAGTCAACAAATTAATATATTCATCATCTCATGCCGTGTTGTGTCTCTGTGTGTGAGCACTTCAGATCTACCCTTAGCAAATCCTCGTGCGTAATACA